GTGGTGTATGCCACACCACAGCTCCCTTGGGAGAGTGACGGGTCACTCTCATATAACCACTGTACTTGGGCGCGCAAGTATTCAATCTAACGACCGAGTCGTGAAGGAGCTGTACCCTCTTAGAGAATGGAACATGAGTCGTTCAAGCACCTGTCTCCGGGATACTTAAATTAGCCTAGCAAACTTATCTCTTTCGCTCATCCCGACGGTGTATGATGCATATGTGTCACACCATTCAAAGTCAGAAGTTGCTTCGTGATTCCTTACACAAATATCTTCCATTAAGATATCACATGGCTTCATTTCGCTGGATATTTTGAACGATCCCAAAGTCCAATTTGGACTGTGGTTCGATGATCTTCTTGTGCAAGCAGCCGATCTTTTTTATGTTTGGTACAATTTTGAAACTTGTCCTGCGAGGGATTCGAACCTGCTATACATACCCTAATATACCCAGCTCAATAACACGTGTATTGAGCTTATTGGGTGTAAAAAGATTACGTAAGGGCGGCACAAAACAATTCTTTCAAGACGGCCGCGGCAACTCCAGTCTCTGGCGTCGACGTCTCACAGATAAATAATTATAGAACTTAGCATTTGGTAGTCGTGGCTGCACGGCCAGTTCAACTTGTATTCCAATCAGATTGTAAATTGAGAAAGGAATGGGAAAATGTATGCTACATAAAGAGAGCAAGTTCAAAGATCTTTTCTTTTTAGTGACCATCAGCTCCAGTCATTTTGGATTTTGCTCCCTTTTCCTGTTTTGGTAAGATCATGACGGAAGCTTTTGAAGTCTACACCTACGTGGTGGCTGCAGGCGTCTTTGGCATTCTATTTGCAGCCTACCTGTTTTGGGAAGTGTCGAAGGTGAGAGTGACTCGCCGTGGTGACGGGTACTCGCTGCTTTCCTCGGAGGTGCGTCACCAAACCGCCGACCGTCTTTTTGAAATCTTCTGTGCCATTCAAGAAGGTGCACGAGCTTTCTTGCTGGCCGAATATACGCTGTGCTTTGCCTTTATCATTGTTTTCGGTGCCGTGGTGCTTGTGCTCACGTCTTTTGTCAACAAGGACGGCAAGTCGTTTGACTGGCTCTTTGGCACCCTTAACGCCACAGCCTTTGCTGTAGGTGGCCTCACTTCGATGGCTGCTGGCTACATGGGGATGATGGTTGCTGTCTATTCAAACGCTCGTACCACAGTCTCGGCCATGAAAGAGGGCGCACGTGGATGGCGGGACTCATTCAATACGGCTTTTCGTGCTGGTGCCGTCATGGGCTTTGGACTCAGCTCGATGGCTCTGCTAGTGCTTTTCATCCTGATCAAGGCTTTTGAAACTCAATACCCGCTGTCTTCTGATCACAAGAAGCTTTTTGAGGCCATTTCAGGCTACGGTCTCGGCGGCTCATCTATTGCCATGTTCGGTCGTGTTGGTGGCGGTATTTACACCAAGGCTGCTGATGTCGGTGCTGACCTTGCTGGTAAGGTTGTCGAGAACATCCCCGAAGATGATCCTCGTAACCCTGCTACAATTGCTGACAACGTCGGAGACAATGTCGGAGATGTTGCTGGCATGGGTTCGGACCTTTTTGGTTCTCTCGCTGAAGCCACGTGTGCTTGCCTTGTGATTTCCACGCAGAGCTCCGAGATTATTAGTGCCGGATGGCCAGCCGTTCTTTTTCCGCTAGTTATCACTGCCACTGGAATCTTTGTATCCGCGATTGTGAGCTTCCTGGCCACCCACGTGTGGCCTGTAAAGAAAGAGAAAGATGTTGAGCTCGTTCTTAAGCTGCAGCTTTTTGGATCTACTCTGCTAATGACTCTCCTTATTGTTCCCGTATCCCTTTGGCTGCTACCGTCGACCTTCTCAATCGGTTCTTCCTTCCATGTGACTCCCATTCGTGCTTTTTACTGCGTCGCTGTCGGTCTTTGGGGTGGCTGCATCGTTGGATTTGTGACTGAGTACTTCACTTCGCACAGCTATACGCCAGTGCGTGAGGTTGCTCATGCGTGTGAGACTGGTGCTGCTACCAACATCATTTACGGTCTCGCTCTTGGATATAAATCTGCTATTGTCCCAATTGTAATCATTTCACTGGCTGTGTATGTGGGCTTTTCAACAGCTGGTATGTACGGAGTTGCTCTTGCCGCTCTCGGGTTTTTGGGTACACTCGCCACATGTCTGGCGATTGACGTGTATGGTCCCATCTGTGACAATGCTGGTGGTATCGCTGAGATGGCAGAGCTTCCTGCTGAGGTGCGTGACAAGACTGATGCTCTTGATGCTGCTGGTAACACAACGGCGGCCATCGGTAAGGGTTTTGCTATTGGTTCGGCTGCCCTCGTATCCTTGGCCTTATTCGGTGGGTTCGTTACTCGCATTGAAGAAGAATCGATCAACATTTTGTCCCCAATCACATTTTCTGGACTTTTCATTGGTGCCATGTTACCCTACTGGTTTACTGCCATGACCATGAAGTCAGTCGGCACTGCTGCCATGGAGATGGTGAAGGAAGTGAAGCACCAGTTTGCAACTATTCCTGGACTTCTTGAAGGTTTGCCGGGTCACGGTCCCCCGGACCATGCTCGTTGCATCAAGATCTCGACTGATGCCTCTTTGCGTGAAATGATTCCACCCGGACTCCTTGTGATGTTATCTCCCATTATTGCTGGCACCTTCTTTGGTGTCCACGCTGTATCTGGTCTGCTTGTTGGTAGTCTGACTTCGGGTGTCCAGCTCGCTATCTCACAGTCGAACACTGGTGGTGCTTGGGACAACGCAAAAAAGTTTGTGGAAAAGGGATGCGTCTCCATTGAAGACAAGGAAGGCAAATTGGTTGTGCAGGGCAAGGGGAGCGCCATTCACAAGGCCGCCGTAATTGGTGATACTGTCGGTGATCCCCTAAAAGACACTTCTGGTCCGGCCCTGAACATTTTGATGAAGTTGATGGCAATTATATCGCTGGTATTCGGTGACTTCTTTAAGAGTATCAACAACGGCCGCGGTCTGTTCAATGTTCCCGGTGATGTTTCCTCGGTTTCTGCTGTCACTCCTGCTGTGGAGTCCACGGCCGGTCCCGGGGTTTAGGCCAGTCGCGCAACTTAAAGGTAGAAGAGCACTTGTTTTGCGCTGTCAGGGCGATACGAAGAGTCAGTACAGGGCTACATTCTGTCATTCTCGTAAGGAGGGTGTGTAGGTAAAGCCGGTGGTTGCAGCTAATGCAGAATACGCTTAGATGCTAATAGAGCTTACTCATACATCAATACTGGATCTACTGTCTTTGTATCATGTGGAAAAGTTGAGGCTGCAAAATACGCTCAAGTATTGCACAATGCGTAACAGTCACATTGAGAGGTTACAATGGTTAGAATTTGTCTACGCTGATGAACCCGCTACCTCATTTTATACATCTTCTCCAAACATCCCAATTTGTCGCGCACCGAACTATGTGCACCATTCATGCCGTGCTTCCATCGCATGCTGATCTTTCTATCTGCTTGGACAGCTTGGCATGTTCGTGTTGGTCACGGGCTCATGCCAATAATGTTGGTACAAATAGGAGGAAAAAAACTTAGCTTGTCAATCAAGTTCTCCCCTCACACGAAGTCTTAAATCTGACTAATCGGATTCATCATATATTCATCGAAAGGCAAACGAAAGCAAGGCAAATGCTTAGAGGAGCAAGAATACTTTCATTGCTATCGTTACATGTCCGATAGACCTGCAGTAGACAAGTAAAGTGATATTGAAGCAATTATTGTCATCATGATCACAAAATTCATACAAATAGCTGAACTTACGTCATGCGTCTATCGTGATAAAGAATTGCGAGATAATGTAACATTATCAGTTGAATAAATCAGGTTGGCTTAGTGATAGCTTTTCTCGAAGAGTGGTAACTATTACCATTTGGGACCTCAACAAGAGGGAGGAGACCTGAGCGAAGAAGGGGTTTCTGGGACATGCCATGGGGGGATCAAGGACGAGAGCAAAAGCACGGAAGCGAATTATTAGTGACGCCAACGCACCGGGTATCATTGCACTTGAAAAACAATTTTAGACCAAAAGTACGCCTGACCGCATGCGTCACGATCTTCAACCGCTCGACGCCTCAGCCGTGTGCCGATCGCGCATCGACTCCCAGATAAAGTGAAATGTGGTATTTAGCGGAAAAACGGAAAGTAGTATTAGTACGTGAGTGCCTTCGACGAGCAAGTAGTTTGTATTCAGAACAAAAAAGCATGTCAACGAGTTGTCAGTGCTGCTTTACTCTTTGAGCTAGCGGATTGCGATCCGTTACACTCGTATTGGTTCTTGTAAAGAACGAAAGATCGGTGGCCTAAAGTACGCTTCCTCAATGCGCAAAGCTACGGCAGCCCCGCTGCACTTAGTAGCACTTGTAGTCAATCAACACATGAGTCTTTAGACCGATTCTCTGTGAGGATGAAACAAATTTCCTTTTTGCCCCTGGGCATATAGGACGGGCTTAACAAGCTGATGTCCTTGCCTGGCCCTGAGGGCGTGCAACACCTTGTGGCGCAAGGTCCCAATCAAGTCGTGT